ATATATATATATATATATATATATATATATATATATATATATATATATATATATATATATATATATATATATAGATATATATCTTATATATCTATAAATATATATATATATATATATATATATATATATATATATATATATATATATATATATATATATATATATATATAATATATATATATATATATATATATATATATATATATATATATATATATATATATATATATATATATATATATATATATATATATATATATATATATATATATATATATATATATATATATATATATATATATATATATAGATATAGATATATATCGTATATATCTATAAATATATATATCTATATATATATATATATATATATATATATATATATATATATATATATATATATATATATATATATATAATATATATATAATATATATATACTCATATAGTGTCGCTTTAAGAGCATTTTAATGTAAAAAAAGTCTCTTACGACTACAATTTTAATTACCTCGTCTCTTAAGCTGTTTTTGATTGTCATCGAAATGTCAAAGCAATTAATTTATGCGGAAGTACATTAAATTTAATTGTTTTTTAAAAAATTTTTAAAAAACCGCAATTATAACGACTAGAAAGTTTTTTTTAATTAGTGGTGTTTTTGTTATTGATTTAATAAAAAACATTTTTTAAACATGCGTAAATGTTGCTACATCGACTATCTTATAGCCTGACTCGCAACAGAGTGCTGCTACATCGACTGACAAATAGCCTGACTCGCAACGGAGTGCTGCTACATCGACTGACAAATAGCCTGACTCGCAATGGAGTGCTGCTACATCGACTGACAAATAGCCTGACTCGCAAGGGAATGCTGCTACATCAACTGACAAATAGCCTGACTCGCAAGAGAGTGCTGCTACATCGACTGAGGGTTTGGTTTGGCCAGGCAGTCTATCAATTTAAAAAAAAAATTTAATTTTGAAAACTTTTTCTGGTCTGGTTTATTAACGCGCTCTTTAAAACTACAGTTTATGGGAAATATTTTTTGATGCTACGCAAGAGACATGCAAGATTATATATATATATATATATATATATATAGATAGATATAGATATATAGATATATAGATATAGATATATAGATATATAGATATATAGATATATATATATTTATAGATATATATTGTATATATCTATAAATAATATTTATCTATAAATTTATATTTATATATATACATCGTTTATTTTATATAATAAAATATATGTAATATGTAAAATTACATTGATCAGTATTTAAAATCATTAAGCAACTGTGCTTTTTAATTTCTGACAAAACAATTTTTATCAGTTTTTATTTGGGTTTGGTATTTCTTATAAGTTGTCTTGAGTCAGATAATTTTTAAGACATTGCTAAAATCTGTGACAAATTTAAGAACTCAACTGATAACACACTAATAACGTATTTCACGGCTGTTTAAGTAATTGAAAGTTTATTTAAATATTCAATCATTGCAAAAAATTGCAAAAACTAAGTGCAGAAAAATTGTTACAATTTCAGACTTCCTTCTTAACTGTAAAACTTATTAGAAAGTCAGATGCAACAAGGTGTCAAAATATATATATTCTTCATTCAAAATATATATATTCTTATAAACTGTAGAACTATTATATATGCTTCATTGGATGTTTAATTTAACTAAAAACTCAACAGTACTAAAACTCAACAGTACTAAAACTCAACAATCATGTTTCTTTAACTCGATGTTTCTCATGATAAAACAATTATTCTCACTCATACTTTAACGGTATTTTTAATTTAAAACAAACAAGACAAGAAAAATTTGCCCATTGAAGATGAAATTGTCAACTTAAAAAAAACGATAAATATATTAGTAAGCAAGTAAGTGAAACATGTATTTTATTTAAAAATTAAACTTCCACCTTTTTTCAACTGATCATTTATATAAAAATAAACTTGAGCATAATAAATTTAATTTTGATGATTTTTAAGGTCTCAGCTAGTTTGATTTGCGCCAAAATATGTTGGCTTATTTATATTTATAGGCTTGAATATTAATCAAAGTAAATGGTGTATATCAACCCTCAGAATTTGGAAAAATAAGGTCAACAATAATATGATGACCTCAATCTTTTAGAGGTTGGCATAAGGTCAGCAAAAACAATTTGATACAAAGGTTTTACTATAAAACATAGAAACGAGATCAGCTATTTTTTGCGGACCTCAAACACTAGATTGGCGAATGCCGACCCTAATTCGGAGAGCTGTATATATTGATTATTAATCAAAGTAATTGAAAAAACAAGTTTTTCACTCAGAGAATGTTATTTCTTAGTATTTATAAAAAAACTATATAGATATCTTAATAAATTGTTTCTGTTTGCAAAGTTTTTATAGTAGTGTCAAATGAGGTCTTAAAAAAAAACTATTAATGATCCATGGGGGTAATCCCAACACTAATCTTAATGGCTTTTCTGCTAAAAGCTAACAACTACTTTTCAATACAAAGACAAAATATTAAAAATTACATTTAAATTACTAACAATAAGTAGTCTTCTGAAATATTTTATTGTTTGTAATTAAATGACTAATGTTAGAAAACAAATAGCTATGGTGCATTTATTTGAAGGAGAAAAACTGATGGAGAACTTACCTCCTATAACTTTGGTAACAAATAAAAAACTAATTCTTAACCTTTAATTTAAAAAATCTTAAAAGAAGTTAATTCTGTCTGAAAAACATTTATAATTTATAAAATAAATTTTTTTAATTTTATTTGATTTCAACTCTCATATAGAATGCTTACCTCTCATGCCCACTTTTGCCATGTCAGTCAAAGAAATCTTTTTTTCATGCATTGTAAATAATTTTTCGAGTAATATATAGTGTTTGTATGAAAAGATTTTTTGAAAACTCTAATTTCAGATCAGGCAACCAATGCCTAATAAAAAATATTGTTTTATGAATTGAGTAAACTTAGTAATTAAAATAAGACTGTTTAATCTTTACTTGTTTGACGCACTATTATCACAATGGTATTTTTCATCATTTGAATCATCGCTGCTAAAAGGTTTTATTAACTGCATTTAAAACTTGCAAAGAAAATTTTATATTTTTTTGAGCAGCCATCTTTAACTATTATTATTATTTAAATTTATTTAACACCTGATGTAATAATATTTACAGTTAAATAGTAATATTTAAGAAAAAACTTTAAATTAATTGATTATTCTCGTCTATAGAACATTTCTAAAGGACTTCATATAACTAAAAGATTGTCACCTTTTAACATTTATTCATAATTTCTTAGATCTCAGCATTTAAAAAGTTTAAGTTACTTCTATACCATTAAATAAATTTTAAAAAATTAATTTTGTTTTTATTTTAGTTTTTATTTTAGTGAAATATTGACAGAAATTTTATGAGTAATTTAAAAAAATACATATCTAAGCTCAAAACCATAAACTTTTTAAGTATTTTAGGTTACTATGGTTGTTTATTTTGAGATAACTAGCATAGCAATGGTTGCTAAGGAGCAATTTTCTAGAAGTACTTTTTGTAATTTGAACTAATTTACTGAAACAAATATTTTCATATATACTACAATTTGAACCTCAAACAAACATTCACATCTACTAAAACCTTTTTCTTTTTTTGAGCATATTTTTCTTCTATTCAATCTAATAATTTTTTTTTTTTTTTAAGAAAATGGGACTTTAAGTATTTATTTTTTTTTTAAGAAAATGGGACTTGCGATGTTTTTTTTTAAAAATTATCTAAAATATTCCTTTTTTTCCTTTGCGAATTTTATGTTTTAATTTTTTAAGTATGATTCTTATTTTATTTTGGTGCCATTGCACAGCTAATTTTCAATACAAAATACAAGGCATTTTGTCAAAAAACGATTAGTTTCAGCACAAAAAATGCAATAACTTCCGATCCACCAAATTTTTTAAATTAAAAGATCCCTCTTTTTAAGCTTTATACAATTATGTTAATCATATACAAATAAGTAAATAACAAAAAATCCTGGAAATGCCTATCTAAATTTTGTAACTGTAAAACTTTAGGCATTACACTTTTTGAGTTTGTGCAATATTTTATAGGGTCATATTGTTATAAAAACTTGATAATCCACAAAAAAATGGTGATTTAAAGAAAATTAATATTTAAGAATAATCTCTCAATAAAATGGAATATAAAATTTTATATTTTATGTAACTCTCAATAAATCTTTTCACTTCTCCGTACAGTCGTTTTAGCATATTATTTTGTATTTCTAAAAACAAATGATAGATTAACAACCCAAAAACTAAGAAAAAAGTAAAGTTTTTTTTTTTTTTTTGTTTAAATCAATTCTTTATATTATCTTTATTTTGTATTATCTTTTTATTTAACTAAAACAACTGCTAAAAAAAAAGGTAAATTTTTTTTAAAAATGAAAACTAAAAAGTGAAACAAAATTTTTTTTTCTCTTAGCTGGTGGTTTAGACACTGATTTCTTATTAAAAACTTTATTTTTTCCTGAAAGGACTTTTCTTTACAAAAGCAAATTGCAATTAAAAAGAGATATTAGATGGAAATATATTTTTTATAAAAAAAAAACTATCATTTGGGTCAAAATAATATGAAAATCTTGCTAAGGAAAATTAAAATGTTTAACTTTTTTTTTTTTGCAGGTGATCTTATAAATGATATATATTGTCTATTTTAAGATTATTATTATTTTATACTTTCTATTTAATCAATAATTAACACTAAAAAATGAAAAATTAAGTGAAAAAATGAAAAATTAAGTGAAACAATGAAAAATCAGTTTGATGTAAAATTGTTGAACAGAATTATTATTGAGAGATCAAAACATCATTTTTTTTTAAAAGTAGACAACAATTAAACAATGATTGACAATGATTTCCAGTGCTGGTAAATGTAGACATAAAATGTAATGTCAATTTTATAAAAATTTAAATAATTTACAACAAACCTGGCAACATTTTAATTCTCCACAAATAGTTATAACAACAGAACTATCAGCTTGCTCATTTACCTCCATATACACATTAAGTAACACCTAAAATGAAATATGTACTAAAGCAAATAATTTTAAATTAAATTTGAAGAAAGAATTCTTAAATTACAGCCTAAAATATATTTTTTTTTATTTAATAACAGAGGAGGTAAACAAAATAGAAGGTGTATTAAAGGGGGCACTATTTATAAATTGCTGACATTTATGATCGGTATACTTGTCTAGATCAACATTTAATCCCTTAAACACTATTAAATTTTAGAGATAGTGTCTCGATAAGAATACTCAGATAAGAATTTGAGGCAGACCTAAAAATGCATCCAGCTACTGTCTGGTAGAAGCACTCATAGGCAAAGACTTGAGGGGTAAACAACTTGCTGACCAGCTTTGCCACCCATTCTTTATCTATTAGGCTGGCGTAGATATATTTATGATACATTGTTTTTGGTTTAGGATGTTGAATGCTGTATCATCTTGACTCAATGCATGGGTTTTGCTTGTGTCTCTTGTGTTTTTGTGATTAGACAACTCATTCTAATCTCCTAATGAGGCTGGCTGGTAGACAGGTTTCCTGAACTCTGCAGTAAAACTCATAGAAGCTGATTCCAACAACAGCTGTAAAGTATAGGATTACTAACAGTGCTTTTTTCCGCATGGATAGTGTCCCTGTTCAAGCTTTTAGTGTGCATTTTCAAGGACAAATTTGGTGCCTTTTGTTATGGCTTAGGATTTGTTAAACATAAGAAGGCAATTGCTTGGACTATTAAACAGTGTAATGTGCAATGCTTCTGCTTTGAACCAAGTTCATTAACAAATCCAAAAAGTTCTAAAAATTAAAAAAAACAAAAAACTATTGTCATCACCATGATCGTTCTAAATCATTCTAAAAAATATTTCTTTTTTTGAGTCTTATCTCTTGTAAAGTTTACTTGACCTATTTGCTCTTTGTGAGATTAATTTGGGTTCAATTGTCTCATCTTGTAACCTAAGTGTTGATTGTTATCTTCCTTTGATTCATAAAGTCTTCAATAGCCACATGCTTGGCCTTTGGCATTTAAATTCGTAAGAATTCACCCGTTCATAGGGAAACTAGGTTTAAATCTACAGACTATTCTTGCATGAGCTTTCGTTTTGCACCACTTCACTCTATTGCTTTTCTTTTTATTCTATATTGCTTTCCTTCATCTCAAGGCTGTACTCTTTTTGATGTTATTTCTGATCAAATTGACCAACCTTTCTCTTTTTATCCATAAGCCAATATCATTGTTATTTTTGACTTAAATGCTCATCATACCGAATGGCTTGGTTCTATTGTCAGTGACTCTGCAGGTGTTAAGGCCCACAACTTTTGTCTTTTTCAATCTCTAACATAAATAGTCAACTTTTCAATTCGCTTCCCAGACAATCCAAATCATTTATCTTTACTTTTCGACTTATGTCTTGTTTCTGATACAAGTTAGTGCTCAGTTTCTCCACGTTCACCCTAATGTGCTTGTGATCACAGTTTGAACTTTTTAAAACTATTATCTCATTCTTCTTCATAATAAGAATCTTCCTATTATCGTACCTCTCACAACTACCTTAAAGCTGTCTGAGACACTATCCGAATTTTTCTTCCCAAATGACCCTTGGGTAGAAATCTTTCTTCTTGCTGACAAATTTGCTTTTAATCAGAAGTCTGTTTACTATTACTAGAAACCATTGTAAAAATGTTTTGCATTGTGCCAAGGCCTGCTACTTTCAGGTCACAAAATTTTGCATAAGACTCTGGAGACTTCTGGAGAATTTTTTACAGTGTCTATAATAAAGGCAAGCCTATTATTTCTATTATTTGCATGGTTTAAATTTTGTTACATCATCTAAAGACAAAGTAGAACTGTTTACAAAGTACTTTTCATCAACCTCATTTCTTGACTCCGCTAACCGCATTATACTTAATAAAGCAGACAAACAGGTTGATCTATTGTTTGACATTTGTAGAACTCCAGCTTCTTTATCTAAGTGATTTCCTGCTTAGACTCTTCTAAAGCTTGTAGTCTGGACAAGAAACCTGTTATAGTCCTGTAGAAGTGTTCTCCAGAGCTTTTGCCTATACTTTCAAAAATATTTACCAAGTGCTTATCAGTGTCTTGTTTTTCAGCCTGCTGAAGTTGTTATGTTATCCCTATTTTCAAAAAATCCGGAGAGCAATCTGACTAGTCTAACTAGCGTCCTATTAGTCAAGCTCCTATCATAAGCAAGTTCTTTAATTAGCAAACACTCAATCTCTCATCTTGAATCTAATAACTTACTAATCATTAACATGGATTTCGGTCATCTCATTCTACTGCTGATTTGTTAACAGTAATAACTAATAGGTTTTATCATGCATTAGATAGATGTGGAAAAATCAAGGTTATTATAAAGTTTGACATCCTGGTCTTCTCCCTAAGCTTTCTTCATATGGTGTATCTGGTAACATCTTTAAAATTATTGCAAATCCTTCAAAAATTATTTGAATCCTTCCTTACAAATTGTAGTAAAAAAATTTTTCCTTGATGGACAGCAAAAGGTTTCATTGTTTGCTGATGATACTACCATTTATTCTTTTCTTGATAAGATAACAATTTCTGATTGCTTGGAGGGGACATTTGAAAAAGAGCTTACTTCTGCTACAGAATGGGGCTCTCAGTGGCTAGTGAACTTTAACTCAGATTAAACTCTTTTTTTTTTTCAGCTAATCGATAACAAATTAATTTAGATCTTCCTATATTTATGAAAGGTAACATACTCAATGAGTTATCTATCCTTTGTCTAACTCTTACTTCAAATCTTACTTGGAAACCATAAATCAAATTCATTGCAAAATTAGCATCTGCTTAGGAAACATCTCTTAATCATGCTCGCCACTTACTTATTTTGGATGTTATTTTTTATCTCTATTAATCTCTAATGGCCCTTTTATGAAATATTGTTGTCATATCTAGAGCAGATCTTTGATTGTAGCCTTTTCTCTTTTAGACAATATGCAAAAATGCATTGTAAACATTGTTAGATCTGTTCTTACAGTCAACTTTCAACCATTGTCACATCGTCGTAATGATGTTTCTCATTCTCTTTCACTAAATACTGTAATGGGCACTGCTCTAAAGAGCTAGCCTTTTTTGTGACATCTAAAACTCATTTTTTGTATTACTCATCATTCAATTAAGTCTCATCCTTTTACTGTGACTATTCCGAAGTGCTTCATAAAATACTGATTGTCTAGTTTTTTTTTGCGAACATAAGTTCTTTGGAATTTGCTCTCTTATTTTTTTTTTCTAATTCATATAATTTGCAAATTTTTAATACTTGACTCTGGCCCTAATATACTCTCAATGTCTATAGTTACTATTGTTACTTTAAAAGAATATATTATTAATGTTTTAAAGTAAAGTCAACTCTACAGTAGACCATAAGTCCTAATTGAATAAATAAAAATGAAGCTTATAAAATATATATTAAAAATACTTAACAAAAGCTTGACTAAAAGTAAGAACCTCAATTCCCTTAAGTTTGATACTGTATTCCAATATTTCATCAACAGTAAGATCTAATGCCAGTGACAATGTGACGCTGCTTTCGCAGATGTCATAAATCAATTTTTTAGCTTTCCTATAAATAAATTTAAAAAAATAGTAAATAGCCTTATGAATAATTTTTTAGCTTTCCTATAAATAAATTACAAAAATAACAAATAGACTTATGAATAAATAGTATTTAACTGTTTAATTGTCTAAATACATATACTCATAATAAAATGTATAAATATATTTTTATTTTTTTTATTTTTTTTAATGTTAATTCACATCCGCAAGGCCAAGAAGGATCAAACTTGGAGCTTATCATTTATAATGTGAGCGCTCTACTACTACACTATTATTGCATTAATATATCTATGTGTGTATAATATAACTGTGTGTGTATTTGTATATATATTATATATATATATATATATATATATATATATATATATATATATATATATATATATATATATATATATATATATATATATATATATATATATATATATATATATATATATATATATATATATATATATATATATATATATATATCTTATACTGCTGGTTTAGGTGAGCATTCTGACTTTGTACTGAGCTTCAGTACATCGACTGACTCGCAGCAGAGTGCTGCTACATCAACTGAGGGTTTGGCATGGGGCAGCAATCTTATCTTTCATTATTCTAAATTTTTTTCTTTATTTTCTGAAAATTCATATTTAATTAATGTAAAAAAAATATGGCAACCCTTGGATTAGGAACAATGAGGTTGGCAATAAATTGCCAACTTCAAGAGGTCGGCAAAAAAAACTTGACACAAAGGCGTTATCATAAAACATAGAAACAACATCAGCAATTTTTGGCAGACCTTAAATACTTTTAGGTCAGCATTTAAGTAGACATTGTCGTATGCCGACCCTAATTCCAAGGGTTGATATAGTAACTATTTCTTACATAAATATGCTATAGTAGATAAGGGGTAATGATTATTTTATTATAAAACCATTGCTTCACTAAATCTTAATACTATACTTTTCAGAACATACTTTACGCATGCGAAGCATGCATATGAGAACATAAAATATTTTCTGATAATTTATACTTTTTTAATGACTGATGTCATGAATACAAATGTCTCTGTTGCTAATTTAGCGCAGCTTTTATTTTTCTGACAATTTTTCAAAAGCTATAAAGATGAAAATAGCTATGAAAGCTATGAAAAATTATCAGCAAGTTTCAAATTAAATCTGATAATCTGCGGTAGTGGTGTAGTGGTAAGAGCGCTCTCTTTGTAAGCAAGAGGTTCGGAGTTCAACTCCCACCATTTCCTTGGAAGTACCGCACTCAACTTAATTTCTCTGCGCGCCGGCCTTGCTTGTCAAGGTTTGTGTTTCGGAGTTAAAGAGTTGAGAGAGGGTTGTACCACAATTTACAACAAAAATTTTTTTAAAAAAAAAACAAAAAAAAACAAAAAAAAAAGAGTAGCCTCCACGACTGTAGTAGCCTCCTCGACTGTAGTAGCCTCCTTGACTGTAGTGGCCCATTCGGGCCTTGGGGAGGTGAATAATTAAAAAAAAAAAATTAAATCTTTTCCACGCATAAACATTAAATCTTTTACATCAAATCCGCCTATAATGAATAGCCTATGAATATTATTATTAATGCGCATAGTTACGCGTATTGTTTTATAGTTACGGTACGGTTCTGTGTCTGTAAAATACACTTTTTAAGTAGTTTCTAGACTTTTCTTTACCGTGTGCTTACTTACAGATTTCCCTTCAACCTTTCATGGTACGAGTTCAAAATGTCTAAGTTGACATTAAGTAGATAATGTTTAGTAGCTTAAAATTATAGGTAATCTAAATTTTTTTTTAAATTTAAAAGTAATTAATTTATTGTAATCTTTTTTAAATTGTAATTTTAAATTTAAAGCTTCGTGTTATAGATTACTTTAATTCTTAAATTGTGTCTAGCGTTAAAATATATTTATGGGTAGTTTCATGCTTTCACTTAGTTTTGGTTATTGGGATAAAAGCCATGACAACATTTTGTTATAAATTTATCTTAATTTAATTTTTATTGAAAATTTTGTTATAAATAAAATTTATCTTTAATATTGTTAATACTTTTGCTCTTTGAAAAAAAATATGTTTCTGGCTCTTTAATAAATATAAAATAATTTGTCTTGCATGAATGAATTTTGGTTTAGGATTTAATTGTGTTAGTTTATGTTTGTCTATCTGTAATTTATTTAGGTTATTAGAAAATTCATGTTTACAGAGTTGTTATTAATCATAATCGAGTTGTTAAACCAATGAAATTGTGGAGGTTTATTTATCATATATACTATGTATATTATATAATTATATTGGAGGGAGTAAGTTTAAAAGCATTTTTAAATTTTTAAAAAGAAATAAAAATACTTTTCAATATATATCTGTTTTCTTTGAGGTAGAATTAAAGTTTCAGTTTTTTAAAACTTTAAATTAACTTTACAATGTTAAAATGGTTTAAACGAACTTAAACGGATTTTTGTAAATGAACTTAATCCTCAAAGATTAAATTTTTTTTATTATTGAAGAAATTAAACTAGATTTAAGAATGAGTCAACTTAAATGTTTGTTTGTTTTTCTATTTAGATGATGACAATATTGAAGCAAGTAAGTTAAAAAGCATTTTTAAATTTTTAAGAAGAAATAAAAATACTTTTCAATATATATCTGTTTTCTTTGAGGTAGATTTAAAGTTTCAGGTTTTTAAAATCATATGTATTTTAAAATCATATATATAACTCATATATCTTTGTTTTTCTATTTAGATGTTGGTAATAATATGAAACAAGTAAGTTATAAAGCATTTTTTAAATTTTTAAAAAGAAATAAAAATACTTTTTATTATATATCTGTTTTCTTCGAGGTAGATTTAAAATTTCAGGTTTTTTAAATCATATATATTATAAGATTTAAGAATGAGTCGACTTAAATGTTTGTTTGTTTTTCTATTTAGACGTTGGTGATAATATCGAAACAAGTAAGTTATAAAGCATTTTTAAATTTTTAAAAAGAATTAAAAATACTTTTCAATATATATCTGTTTTCTTCGAGGTATATTTAAAATTTCAGGTTTTTAAAATCATATATATTATAATATTAAATTCTTTTTTACTTTAAAAATATCTATATTATAGTTACACTGAGTCGTAGAAAAAAAATTAAAGTTTATTAATAAGGTAGTAGATTATTAGAGTAGATTAAATTGTTTGATCTATTAATCAACTTAATAACGTACTATTAATATGAAGATTTATTTTGGTTGTTTGTTTGTTAAAATTTAGTTAGTTTATTTAAAATTTAAATTCTTTAGTTAATCAAGAGAGATCTAATAAAGGTATTAATTACATTAGTTGAATGTGGCATTTAATATGTATTTTATCGATATTTTAACATCTAAACATTAAAAGGCTTTTATTGTTTCAATACAGAAGTGAAGAAGGAAATAAGTCAGTGTTTTTGCTATTAGATATTTGTTAATAGGAATTTGTTTATTTGTACTGCCACTGGAATTTTTAAAAATCAAGTTCTTTAGCTTTATTTTATACTTTCTTTTTTTGGAAGTTGGAACAAAAACTAAGTATAAATTATGATTAGTTTAATAAATAAAGCATTAATATTTAGAAGATTTTAAGTTTACTTTAGTTTATAGTTTTGGTTTAGTTTATAGTTTTGTTTTTAGCTTTAGTTATTTTTTTCTTAGACAACTTTATGGATGAAATGAGGGGGATGGGTAAAACAATTATTTAGATATGTATATATTTATATGTTAACATTATTTTATCGATTATTTTATATTTATTTAAGTATATATTTGTCTTTAGTGTCTGGTGGAAGTATAGCTGGTAGGGCTGTGTTTTATATTTTATATGTTTTGTATGGAGAAATATGTGCAATAGGTGGAAAAATTAATTAATAAATATGACACTTTTGAACTGGTTGCATTATTGCCCTATATATTTATTAAAATACAAAATGTTGCATGTTTAACCTTTTTTAATTTGCTCTCTCTTTTTTTTTTTTAGTATCTTTTGTTTCAAATGAAAATGGTGAGTTTATGCTATTTCTTTTTTTTAATAATTGCTAATGTAGAATTTTTATTATATTCTTCTATTTGTAACTTTATATTCCTTATCATTATCATTCTAAATATCATTATCATTATCATCTTAAATACTCCTCCCTAAAATCTAAAGTCGAAAGTTGAATTGTTCATTATCTAATTATCATAATATAATGATGCTGCATTCTTTTGTTAAAAACAATTATTTGGTATGTTTCATTTATTGAACTCACTGCTTTTAAAAATTACCAAAACCCAGGGCAATATATTTAGCTATATAAATACAATTTATCTACCTTGATTCCATTCTTCATCTTTTATGTTTATAGTTTGGCTCCTTGAAGCATTTTATGTTTTGCTTTTTTTATTATGAGTAGTTTGAATCCGTTGTGATGTCTTTTAAATTTACTAAAAGCCAACATAAAAATTACGTTTTTGAACAACACCAAAAAGAACAGCTGCATCCCTACAGCAACTACTGCAGTATCACAATAGGTTACCAAAAGCAGGTATACTGTTTTCCAGTTGTTGTTTTTTTTTTATATATATATCTACTTATCTATATAATACTATAGTACGATTGTTTATATCTCATTCATTTTTTCTTTTTCTATAAGTGTCAATAATTTTATTCTTTGAATGAGATTAGTTAAACAAGTCGGCTTTCCAATTCAAGATATTGGTTTCAAAATTGAACACCATTGGCAAAATGCTAACAAAATTAGTTTTTAAAAATCTGTTTTCTATTTAATACACTTTTTTTTAAATATACTTTTTAAATATACTTTTTTAATATACTTTTCTATAACAATCCTACTAATATGAAATCACGTAGCTTTCTAAATATGTTTAATTGTCGTCCCTATCGGTAATAAATATTTTAAATTATTTGATATGGTTTTCTTTACAATAGGCTATGCTTGGCTCCTCGGTGCTGTAAATGGTGGCTTCAACTTAGTTTTTTTAAGAAAAATG